AGTGTGCTCTCCTCAGACTTTTTCCATAAGCTAAAACAGGAAATTTTGTGAAAAAAGGGGAAAAAGGAAATACAAATCTATTACCCTTTAAAAGAGCGAGTTACTGGAAAAATTTTCCCTCCCCAAATTAACCTTCAACCGAAATATATATACCAACCCTATCCCTTACAACATCAGCTGAAATCAAAATCCCTAATTCTTCCTTCGGTTCTTCCTCTCCACCTTCTCCTCAGCCCATCCAATCTTCCGTTACATCTTTTAAAGATGAAATCAATTCACCAGTTCATCCGTTTCCCTAAATCTTCCTTCGGTTCCGCCTTCTCTCCGCCTTCTCTCAGTTCTTACGTTACGCCGTCCCACGATCTTAAGCCATAAATTTCCAAAATTGATTGTTACTGCCCTAATCATCATCTCTGCGCCTCCGCCATCATCTCCTCAGTTGTCTGAATTTTGGCATCGGTAAGAATAATTTTACTTTTTTGGTGTTCATTTAATTTAATTTTGTTCTAATTAGCCATCATCTCCTTTTGTTCTAATTCAACAATAGGTCAAGGATTGTCCGAATCAGGGCTTGCTTCAAGCCTCCGCCATCATCTCCTCAGTTGTCTGAATTTTGGCATCGGTAAGAATAATTTTACTTTTTTGGTGTTCATTTAATTTAATTTTGTTCTAATTAGCCATCATCTCCTTTTGTTCTAATTCAACAATAGGTCAAGGATTGTCCGAATCAGGGCTTTCTTCAAGTCTTCATATTGCTCCTTTGTCAGTTTCATCAGGTAAGCCATGTATTATATATGAAATAGTGATGACACAGTTTAGGATCTACCCTAAATGTTTCAGTTTCATGTCGTACTTTAGGCAACTCTGTTCATGTTCAAGCATTAATACCTATAAGTATGATTTTATATGCTATATGATTGATCATCTTATTAAAAATTGCGACTGTGATTTTGAATGCCATGTAATATTCTTTCTGGCAATTGAAACACAGTCATCACATAAATTAATATATAAGACATTCATTTAAGAAAAAAAAATTGATCAGGTAAAAGTTAGAATGAATATTGTTTACTAGATTTATTGCCTGTTCTAATTTCACAATCGCTTATGACAATATTCTGCGTGTTGGCTATATGAAATCCATCTGTATTTGGACTCTCATCTGTTCTAATTTTTCCTGTCTGGTTAATTTAGTCTTTATCTATTGTTCGTATTCAACAAACAAGTGTGAAATGGCAACGGTATATACCTCGAGCTATTAATTGTCTACGTTTGAATTCTTATGCATGCTTGCTCTGTTCAGGATACACTGCCTGAAATTGGCCTTAAAAGTATGAATCTGATGATTTGCACCTCAACATATGACATTTTGGAATGCGTTTACATATTTGTTTGAGCTATAACTATCATCTATAGTTTGCTATCCTATTATGTAATAGTTGCATTCAAAAATGATAGTTGTGCGAACACATTGCCAACCCACTGGATATATGACCAACAAAAGTCCCATGTAGAAATATCAGTAAATAATGATCAATAAGATTTTTAATGCAATAATAACATAATTAACAGCATAGTTGGAAGCATAATAACTAATGATGCATTGCTCCATGATATAAGTAATGAAGTGCCCCCTAAAAAGATAAGTGTCCAAGATGTATATAATTGTCTGCCCCAAGTATTTGCGAGCATCAAACAGGTATTTGCTGTTTGCTCTCCTCCTTTCTGCGGTACACCCTACATTAATTCTCTCCACCTTTACTTTTTGTAGAAGAACGTCTTATGATAGTCTTATCAGTAGAAAATTGCAGTGGGAAGATTGTTCATGGAAAGGTCTGCTCAAATATGATGTGACAATCTGTGAAAGAAAGGTGTTTGCTGTTTGCATAACTATACATTGTAAGTAGTGATTTAATGTTGTTTTGAGTACAGTTCTTATTAAAGCCTCAATATTTGGTGTTTGTGTAGATCATTGGGGATGAAAATGACTTGCTTAATCAGTTGAATGATAAATGTAACTCAAGCTTCCCTGCTGAGTTTGAGAAAAATACCCTCCAGACATTAGGACCTGGGAACCCAACTCCTATGAAAATTCTCAGGGAGAATCTTCTATTTTGCATTGCAAGTGGAGAAAAGGAGAGTTGTCAAAGTCAACTTATTCCTTCGGCTGCAATTCCTATGCATGGATTCTTGATTCTGGTTAATGCGAGTATATGAGTTAAGCAACTTTCTTCTCTTTTCTCTTTATTTTGTTCATAGTGATGATAACTCTATTTCCTTGTATTTATCTTCTTCTACACTTAAATATTTATTATTATTATTATTATATGACTTAAAAAAACAGAATTAACCTTAGCATATGAGATATTTATGATTACTAATGCATGTATAGTGTACCAAAATTAAAAAAAACTAAAGTACTATTGAACATCAAATAAAATATACTTATTCTCTCAAATTATATTCACTGCTATACTTATGTTTAATAAAATCAATAATTTAACACAATAAATTTTTTTTCCTTGTAGAAATATATATTCTACTTCTTGGATTCCATAATCGCTATACATTTGCATAAGGACCTGGGAACCCAACTCCTATGAAAATTCTCAGGGAGAATCTTCTATTTTGCATTGCAAGTGGAGAAAAGGAGAGTTGTCAAAGTCAACTTATTCCTTCGGCTGCAATTCCTATGCATGGATTCTTGATTCTGGTTAATGCGAGTATATGTTGAGGTTTGTTTTGCTCATGAATAGGGATTATATGTCGAAGTGTTTTACTTCATGCTGTCATTTACTCTGATCATTTATTTAAGTTGAATCACGTCGAGTATGGGCATATCTTTTTGGTTCCTTATGATACCAAGCGAATTACAGCGTTTTTCCACAAGGATATGTTCTATTTGTTTTCACGGTTTGCAAAGGAAAACAGTAATTGCTCCCTAAAGGTCTTTTTTTTGAAAAGTTCTTCGACAACTCCAGATTATGCATAATTACAGGTATTTTACTGACCGCGTTAGTTAATTTTCTTATTCATATGTAATTTACTAAGTAAGTCAGCATTTGGGGTTCCTAATGCTGTCTGAACACAAACTTTTTGGATTTGTGCTTAGTAATTTTTTTTGAGAATAGTGGAAGGAGAGACCTAAGAGAACAAGGATGAATTTTTTTAAGGAGTGCTTTGAGAAACCTTTTATGATATAGGATGTTATTACGATACTATTCTTATAGGATTCATAATGCCGAGCACGACATTGAGGACAGGTAAGAAATAAGAATAAGCTGAGTCTGGCTATTTTTTGGCTTGACAAACAAAACATGATATACACTCTTTACCATATCATAGGAATTCCCTCACTGTTTTCTTTTTCTTTTTCTTTTTGACAGTTAAAGAATATTGACTTTTAATATTATATACCAAAAACCTAACAGTTTGTTGCTACCTGTGGAACAGGCTGCTTACTTTGCAAACCCTTTACAGGTGGAACTTCTTACAGTTATCAATGTATATGACTGCAAGTATAACAAATTAGTAACCATATCTGAGCTTGCAGATTATCATCTTAAGACATTGCTGTTTACAAGCCAGAACTTGGAATCACTTGTTGGATTAGTAGCAGAAATATGAACTATTTTACAGAAAAAAAACAATGTCGTGTTCAACTTACTGTCCTCTGATTGTGCTACAAAGGTGTTCCTGTTTCCTCAGGTAAATTCCAAGCAAGTATTATATTATCATTGCATCCTGTCTGATCTTGGAGAATATTTATATGTTACAAACTTAGACCAATGCATCCATTTTATTGATTGAGAATGTGCCATACCAATTTATTGTCCTCAAGCAATAAGAAAAGGCTGAGAAGACAGTTTTTAAAGTAAAAAATTTCTGCAACTCCATTTTATATAACTAGAGTCTAGAAATTACATCATGACTATCTAAAATATAGATAAAACAATCTCAAGGTTTTACTTACGGCCCCATCTTTTACTTGACGACTTAATAAAAGGAAAAAAGGATGTTCTGAGTTCACTGATATCACTATTGTCTACTACCTGCACTGATGAGTCCGTGTCACTATCTACTTCCTCCCTATGTGATATTCTACAGCGCTTTTAAGGATATTTTCCCCTTTAATCTTTTACGAAATAGGATGAATAACTTGGTATTTTAATACTTTATGTCAATGAAATGAATCCTTCCGAGAGTTTACAGGATCAAATACATAGAAGGACCCAAGTAGGGAGCTCAGATATTGAGTTGCAGAGAGGCGAGAATTCTGATACCGATAAAAGCGATAATCCAGATTCCAAATACTCCACCAGTATAAGGAACATGCTACCTTCAAACAAATGAGATGTACTTGAAGACTCTTCGAGGTAATTCAAGTCTACTTGCTCTCATTCTTTTGTAACCGCTTCGTCCTTTTGGTTACAACTGATCTGACACTCAAACTGAAGGCTTTACTGCTGCTCAAACCCAGATTTTAGACAGCAGCAGGCAAACAACTGTATTTTTCATCCATATTTTCTTTTTTTTATTGTTTAAGTGTACCTACGGTGTATTCGAAAGTGCTCAAGACTCTGTGTACAGTTTGTAGATCTTTGAAAGATTGATTCTTTTAATGACTTGGACCTATTTTAGATTGCTTGATGAATTTGTCATTCTGTTTCTGTTGAACTTTTAGTTTTATAAATACAGTGCAGTAACCAACACTTTCAGCTAAAGCTGTCCCTAACCAGGACATTTAAAGATTGATCATGACTTTGTATTAATGATGTCAATGCCTTGTGTTTTGGGGCAATGCTTTGAGTAGTAGCTTTCATCGGCTCGTCATCAAGGGAACTGATTTCTTTAAGGAGCAGCACTTTACAAATTATGAACTTTACAAAGTTATGTGGCAGAGGATCCATCTACTTGGAAATTTCATCAATGCACCTTGTTAAGTACCTGACAGAATTGAGTGCTCATCCTGTTGGTTCAAATGCCCTTGATGTTGCATTAGAGGTACTCCTTTCTTTTGATAACATCTATTCAGTGCTGGAAAATAAATTTTATCTTTCACTTGATTATCATGTGATAGCATGAATAACCCTTAATGCCAAGTTATAGTACTTTATCTGATATTGAGCTCAAAGTCAGGCTAATCTTTTTAATTACATCTCAGAGAGCATTTTGATGCTTTATCTTAATGTACTACAGAGAATTGGTGTATGTCAGGTATCAAGACACATCTTTACCTGATTGGTAATTCTACTGAAGGCAATTGTGTCTATGCTGATGAGGACTTACTGGATGCTCTACTCGGTTCTGCGGTACACCTTACATTAATTCTCTCCACCTTTACTTTTTGTAGAAGAACGTCTTATGATATTCTGATCAGTGGAAAATTGCAGTGGGAAGATTGTTCATGGAAAGGTCTGCTCAAATATTATATTCTGCTTTAAAAAATTGTTGGGTCCCTTGACGCAAAATCACTTGTTTCTATGCTTTATACAATATATTCTTCTGTAATCTCTGCATGTATGTCGATATTTATCTGTTTGTAATTGTTGAAACTGATGAAATTATTTCCTTATGCTGGCGTGTTTATCTTAGCTATGGTACATGTATACTCCACAATTAGAGCTTTTTTTCTTTTCTCTGTTTATAACACTTTATTTTATTAAGCCATTTATGTGTGGCCAAACTTTATGAGGAGGCATAAATAACTGAAATAGAAGAAACAAATTGTTTTATGATTTGACGCGTTACTTCAATTGTAAGGATTCCATAGCAATACCATTATTGTTGTAACATTTGGAACTATTATTTATATTAGCAAAATTATGCACATATTTGGCCTGTGTGTAATTTGTTCCATCGTGTTGACTATCTTAGCTACTATCTGAGGGTTAACATTTAAGTGCAGGTTCCTGTGGATCTTGTTATTGATCACTCAGTACAGATTGATGTGGCAAGATCAGCGAATGCAGTTCAGGCAAATATGGAACTTGAGTTTCAACACAACAAGGAAAGATTTGGATTTTTAAAATGGTGTTCCAATGCATTCAATAATATGCTTGTTGTCCCAAAAGGGTCTGGTATTGTCCACCATGTAATTATATTACATCATTCATGAAGGGTGCATCTGATCTGCTGTCGTGTTAAGAGTTTAATCTCAGCCGAGTTTATGATAATTAATGGTTGCATAATCTAAACGTTGTTCTTAACCTGTCTTGCAGATGAACTTGGAATACATTGGACGAGTTGTTTTTAACAATGAAGGAATGCTTAACCCTGACAGTGTTGTTGGTACTGATTCCCACACAACTATGATAGATGGGTTAGGTGTTGCTGGCTGGGGAGTTGGCGGAATAGATGCGGAAGCTGCAATGCTTGGCCAGGTTACTTATTACTTTAAGTGCAATTAATTATATGTTTATGAGCATTGTATCGTACAAGTATAATAACGGGACCATCTTACCTATATACTCCACCAACCTTCCTTTTCGTCCTCTATATATTTATTTGTGTCTTTGTGTTTGATTTTCCTTTTTTTTATTTCTTTTTTTAGGGAGGATATGTGGGAAAGGGCATAAAACAACAGTATATATTTTCCTGTTTATCATTTTGAAGACAATGATTGCCTGATATTTCTTCGGCACAATCAACTCTCTGCACGGTATAGGACTTTCAATTACATCTCCCGGATGAATTAGAGGACAACTTATAGATTTATTTCCTCAAAACTCAAAAGGTGCATCAATGGATCAATTGGCTTGACAGCATGATTGGGCTTTCCGCTTATCTTGTGGAAAGCGTACTTTCAAGGAGACATCCAATTCAAGAAGAAATCGACGGATAACCTCTAACATTGTATTACTCATCTCAAATGTAATATTAATCATTCATTTTAGTAGCTTTAGTCAGTCATCGAGTGGAACATTTGTATTGAGAGCAAGACTGATAATACATATATAATGTTTGGACGCTTACATCACAGTGAAAGCAACTGCCTAAATATAGAGGGAAAAAATGCATTGTTGGTAGATGACGGCTGTTCGCTTTCTTAACTTGTAATTCTTTTACATTCTTATAAGTTTCTCTCGAACGTCCAAATGTGTTCCATTTAATTTATATCTAATCGGTATTGTGTTCTGCAACGATACTTAACTTATGATAATTTAATGTGAGCCCTTAACCATTTTAAAAATTTGAATTGGCCAACCAATCAATAA